AGCCAAAACCAAATCACCCTCCTCTCTCCTCAACACCCGCCCCCTTTCTGTCACCTCCCGCTTCACCGGCCTCCTCAACCAATCCGCGCCGCCTCAGAGCCGGCCTCGGCCAATCAGCGGCCAGCTCCCAACTCCACACAAGATGGCGTCGCCTTGAGGGAGTTGTGAGGAGAAGCGGGCGGGAGTTTTGTGTTTTTATATGGCGAGTAAACGACGGAAAGCGGCGGCAGAAGTGGACAGAGGGGCGGAGGAGCTTCGCCTCAGGAGCCCGGCGAGGAGGACTGGTAGAAGCAAAAGCAGCAGGAGAAAGGGTGCTCCTGACCCTGAAGAAAGTAACCGGGAGGCAGAGGGTCCCTGCGGCGGAAGCAAAGAGGGAGGGGAGGCGGCTGGGGAGCCCCCTCCAGCCTCCCCTGGGCTCCCTCCAGGTATTTGTCCACCAGATTCCTACCTTCTCCCACCTCCCCTGCCCCCAAAAGCCCAGCAATACCGTGGCCAAGGTGGACAGAGGTCCTCACCGTGAAATGGAGGACATTCAAGGCAAAAATGGGCGACATGACCACATAAAAGGCTAAAAGCACTCGTAGAAGTGTAAATCCATGCTTCTTAGTCATGCTCAAAATGGAGGACGATTTGAAATGCTTCCTGGGCAGCAAATGAAAAGCTAAACATCCTAATAGAACTCTGAATTCACGCTTCTTAGTCATTTTGGGATTCCTTTTGGACAGAAAATAAAAAGCTAAAAACACTCATAGAAATGTAAATCTCATGCTCAAAATGGAGGACATTTTTGAAATTCCTCTTCTTGGACAGAAGGCTGAAATGGAGAACATGTCCTGGAAAAGGAGGACCTCTGTTCACCCTGCCCATAGCCTTCTTTGTAATAAAACTGAAACTTGTTCCTGGGAACAAGGGCACTCCCAAAAAATGACTTGTCTTGGGTTACAACGCCCATCGTCCCCATCACTGGTTGGGGACGATGGGAGTTGTGCTTCCCAAAGCTTCTAGGGAGGGTTTTAGGGGAGGCTGTCAGGTTTTTGTCTCAGTGCATCCATAGCAACTGCTCACCTCTCTCAATGAGTGGATCCTTCCCTAGCAGCATCTACACTCCAGAAATAATGCAGTTTGACACCACTTTAACTGCCATGGCTCCATTCTATGGAATCCTGGGATTTGTAGTTCTGTGGGGTATTTTGTCACCCCTGTCAGAGGGCGCTGGTGCCACAACAAACTACAAATCCCAGAAATCCATAGGATGGAGCGAAAGCAATGTCAAACTGCATTAATTCTGCAGTGATGCAGCCACTGCCTAGGGAAGGATCCCTCTAATATTTTGATGTTGAGACAGCAGCATCATTAGGTTTCTCTCCTTCCATGTCTCTTCTCTACCCTTCTCCTGCAGTGACTTTCACATAGGCAACATTGTTTCTCTGCTGCAAAGAGAATGATAGTGTCTTTTGTAGTGCCTTAGAAATTAATGCAATTATAAAAATCCTTATGTTCTGTGTAAGTATATATTATACAACAGGTCTTAAGTATCCACTGGGTTTGATTTCAAGACCTTCTGTGGATGCTCAAGTCCTATCATAAACAAGGGGTTAGTAAAATTGTGTCGTTTATATAAAATGGCAAAACCTAGGTTTGATTTTTTGGGTGTGTGCATGGAATATTTTCAAGCCATGGATGGTTGGATCCATGGATACAGAGGACCGACTGTAACTTGTAGTGTGTTGCATACCTAATAATATTCAGCATCCATGCAGACAAGACAAAGATGGAGAGGGTACTAAAAGCTTTATTTTTCCTATTACAGTGTTGGGAAGTGCAGTTCTCAATGACTCCTATGGTTGGTTGAGTGAGGCAACGTTGATGTT